TCTTTTCTATCATTCTCTACTAGCCATAACTTAGAACTAACAACAGCTTCCTCAGACTTCTAATCCAGATGGTCTGAAAGAACTGTGACCTGTCCTTGGTATATTGAGGCCAACCTAATATTCTTTTCTTTCAGTCCAAAATCCAGTAGCCTGATTGGTGATACCTCTCACTTAAGGTTCTTGCCTATCTAAATCCTTCACATTGGTATCTATTTCCTAGGTCTAGCCTTTACAGTAGTACTTTGAAGATCTGTATTATCTTTCTGCTTAGAATTTCCAAGTAGGCTCTAGCTTCCCAGTTTTATGAATTTATACAGTCCAAGAACTTATTTTAGGTTTGCACTACCTAGTACCAGTTTGCATTCCTCTGTATAACAAATTACACAGATGCTCCAGACCTGCCAGTCATACTAGTGTGACTATAGTTACAAGTATTCTATCCTAACTGATCAACAGAATGCTGTCACTGTAATACTATCTATATATTACATAAGTGATTATTCAAATTTTGCTGTCAGTAGATTTTGAACTCACAACCTACCACTTGGGAATATAACAACTTATCCACTTCACTAAGTTGCCACACCCTAATTTAATTAATCTAGAAATAAATATGCTACTTATGAAATTTTAATTTCTAAATACATATTTCTTAAAGCAATATCATTTACTATTAAATATGAAGTTATTTAAGAAATATTAAATTCAAAATATTGAAGTATTTTGATAAATAAAAGTATTATATTTACTAATAAACATCTTGCAGTTGTAACAAAGCACTTATCTAAAAATAAACCTATTTTATATTATCTTAGAATGATTAAATTAGAGGATTGTAGTACTAAAATAATTACTATAAATTTAAAAGGATTTATATTAGCTAAATTACTTAATATTGAAAATTTAGTTCATTTTAGAAGTGATAGTAGTATTATGCTCAGTCATCAAAATGGAGTTGCTGCATATTTTAAAAAATATAATTCTTTTATTACTAATAATTACTGTATAGTATATCATTTACATCTTGCAGATCAAGTTGCTGCTGAAAAAGTATCATATTTTGAAAAATATAAAAAGTTAGTAAAAGGAATTTATACATATTTTAATAGTCCTTATAAAAGATTATTAATACTAAAAATGGTACAAAATACTTTAAAAGAACCTGAATTAATAATATTAAATATTGTATCTACTTGATAGCTTTTATTTTCAAATGTTATTTATAATTTTTATTAAAATTTAAAGTCAATTAAAGAAGCATTATTGGATGAAGCAGCAAATAATATGCAGGCAGCTATTTTATTAGCAGATATTTATCAAACTTTTGAAATTGTAACTATGTTTTTGGCAGATTATTTTTTTATAATAGATAAATTAATATGCATTTTTCAATTAAACTATATTTTATTTACAGATATCAAACAACATATTACAATAACATGTGATGCATTACAAGCTTAATTTATTGGTAACAATAATGTTTTACCAACTTATGAATAAAATTTACTTAAATATATAGAAGAAAATAATCTAGATACTAGTCAATTTTCTATCTTTATCTTTGAATTTGCATTTGTTACAATAACAAATCTAAATAATTATTTTTTAAATCGAGAATTTTATAAAGCTATAAAAATATATGATTCAAAACAGTTACCAATATCTGATAATAATTTAGCAAACTATGGTAATGAAGCAATTAATATTCTTAGTAATTTTTATGAAACAGAAAAAGTTATTAATAATTAACAATTTATATCATTATTATAAAAGAAAGATTTAATTAATTAGTAGAAAATGGTTAAATTTTTTCTTAAAAATTATTATTCTATTAAATTTGTTGATACATAGAACTTTATTTTTTTACAAACTACATTTATTTATAATTTCCTGCTACTTCTACTTTAATTCAAATTGCTTTACTTATTCCTGTTTCTAATACAACTGTTGAACAAGTTTTTTTTTATCAAAAACTTATTAAAACTTGACTTTGTAATTAAATAAATATTGAAATACTTAATTATCATTTAATATAGCTTTAAATAGGCCATCTATTGAATTATTTAATTTTGAAAAAGCATATAATTATTGGTATACAAAACAACAATAAATTTAAATATATATTAGATTTTTGTTTTTAATTAGAATAATAAATATTTTTTATTAGTTAAATAATTTTTTATAAATTAAACTTTTATCTTTAACATATTAAATATTATTACTTGTTATATATCTTTATTCATTAAGATAATAAATATATATTAGCATATAATTTGTATTTTTAATATATAAAATTTTGTTCAAAATAACTGAACTGATCTATTAACTGATATCAATTAGTAACTTGCATTACTAAAAATTAAACTCAAATAGCAAGTTAAATACTTTATTAAATACAATTAGATTATTTATAAAAAAAAATTAATACTAATTTTATTTTTCTTTTGTCTTACTTATAAATGTGAATTAATTCTATATTATTGCATCATATTTTAATTATACAAATTAACTTTAACTATGTTATCACTATATTAAACTTTTAAATTACTTATATTTTATTATACTACTTTTATACTACTACATTTTTTACATTACTAATTAATTATTAAGTTTGCTATTCATAATCAAATTCCTATTTGATATTTAATTCCTGATTTTAATTAATTATTATAAGCTTCATATATGCAAGACATGACCTTTTTTTTTCCTAAGCTAAGTACAATTATATATATATATACACTAATATGCTTCTGTTTTTATTTACTTTAGAGCTTTAAATTTATACCCTTTATTAATATTAAATACAGTACTTGTTTTTATCATTATACTAGTTTAACAGAGAATATTAATATTGCAAAAACCAAACTTATTTAATTTGGTTTGACATCTTTATTTGAAAATTATATCAAATAAATACAAAATCATAAAAAACTAGAGTTACTATATTTAGAGCATAAAAAATATGTTTGGCAGTATATTAATTATAGATGTTCTTAAGCACTTGTTTTAATAAATTTAATAAAAAATCTGATTGGCTAGTTTGAGCAAATAGACCAATTAGATTTGTTATTGAGTCCAATGAGATAAGTGTTTAAGAATGTTCTATAACAATAATTAGTATTTATATGCATATTAATTTTAAAATTTAGTGTGTTTTGCATATACTAATTCTAAAATTTAGTATGTTTTACATATACTAATTCTAAAATTTAGTACATTTTGTATGCTAATTTTAAATTTGAATTTTTTTCACAAGATAGAAATCTTTCAATGCATCCATATCTTTGAAGTTAGTTAAAAACTCAACTTATTAAAAATTTGCTAATATAGCAGTTGTTTAAATTTATAACTTTTCTAAATTTATTTTAACTGCTTTCTAGTAAATATGCTTTTAAAGTATAATACTTAACTAGAGTTATATTAATATTGGTTATTTGGTTATTATTAATTAATAATTGTCACTGTTGCATTATTAATAATTATCACTGCTATACTATATATAGAGGTCATTTAAAAGTCTTACAAATCGATTAGCATCTATATATATAGTATATATACCTGTCTTTAGACCATTTTTGTAAATATACAATAAACATTACATTGATCATACCAAAACCTTTTTTGATTAATTTTTTACAAGATGTCTCAAAAATAATGATAACAGCTAATGATTTGATCTTTAATTTTGAAAATTTTAATTCTGCCAGATTATAAATAGAGCTTAAAGTTAATTTAATATACATCTAATGCTTTCTTGGTTCTTAAAAGATTAGTTACAAGCTGATAATAACTATTTTATCTGGTTTTACTCAGAACTACAATGTTATAATATTTTTTGTAGAGTATTTTATGTTGATCACATAATTGTTCTATAAAATATTTATTATTTGCATTCTTAAAATATATTGCTATCTGAATTATTTAATCCATTGTATTTTTTAAATTTGTCAATTTTTTAAAAACTTTTTTTATACAAAGATTTAATTAATGTGTATAACAGAAGATAAATACAATATTTCTGTAATTAAGCCTTAATCTTCATCTAATAAATATAAAAATATATAGAATTAATTAAATTAGAAATTAATATAAATTAATAACAAAAAAAAAATTATCTAGCTGCAACATATAGCTTTATGCTATTTGTAACAATTGTATTGATCTTTATATTTAAGTTTTTTAATTCATCAATTATTCTTTTTGTTTTTTTTTATTACATTAATGTATCTTTCTCTCTCTATACTAACATTTACTGCCTTTCAGATATAGAATTTCCTTTTAGAAGTTATTATTATTATACCTATTAATTATTCATTATTAAAATTTGTTTACTCATCAAATATTAAAGTAGTACCAATTTTATCTTCATGAAGAGCTTTATATATTCTATTATCATATATAGAAATAGTTGTATCTAAATTGGTCCATCAAGAGTTTAACAGTCTAAAAGATTTATAAAAGAATTCAAAAAATCAAACAGTTTATATGTCTCTGGCTTGTTTATTCAATTAAAAGCTCAACTGCAAGATATTGTTAATCTTAACAAAAGAACCTTAAAATATTTATAATCTTGTTATGATAATGGTTTAACCAAATAGTTGTCAAGTAGGTCAAAAGAAAATGATTATACAATAACCTTTTAGTTAGATAATTGTAATAAATTAGATATAGTATCACATAGTGAATCTAATAAAATTGAATATATTAATGTATCTTTTCATATAACTTAAAATAGACATTTTTTATTCTTACTTGGTTGCTTAGTTTGTTCATTATTAGATAAATCAAAAACTTTTTTTCATTTTTTAGATGTTGTTTGTTGTATAAAATGTATATATTTTTTAAAATATATAACTATTCTATTTATTTTATTTGAAAAAATTATTGCTTTTCTTCATTTTTATCTAATATATTAACACATGCCTTATAATAAATTTTATAATTATTTTTATTAATATTTTTCTTGTTTTAATAATATATTGTTCTAATAAATTAGATATTGATGATCTTGTAGTTTTTTTTTTTTTAGCTAGCAACTGTTTTTTTTTAAAAAAAAAATTTAGTACCAAATACAAGCTTAGTGAAATATAATATGACTTTAGTACATTTATAGTATTAGTTTAATTATTTTTTAATAAAAAAAAGATCAAATAGATTTTTGAGTTATTTATTAAAAAATTTTAAATTTCTTAAAAAAGATAAATTTATAAGAAACAGATATAAACTTCAGCTTTGCATCATATACTATTATATGCATTATCAGTTTATTCATTAATCAGATTTTATATATTATCTATTATCAATTTATTCTCGACTCTATTCATTAATCAAGTTCTTATACTTTCAGCTTATTTGACTTTGTTCATTGGGCAAATTTTATGCATTATCTCAATACTGTATATGTATAGTATATTCTAGTACTAATACTAAATACTTATTTAATAGAATTAGCACTAAAAAATAATTATTTATTTTTGGCATTACACCAGAGTTTTTGGATTTTTGTAGTATTTAAATAGCACTATTTTGTGCTAGCAACAATTGTCTTATACTAAAATGCAAAATTTGCTAAACATATGATTATTATCTTTGTTCTTAAACTGATTTATATAAATGAGTAATTATATGCATATTTTAGATAATAGCCAGAAAACTTATTAAAATGATAGATAAAGAACTTGCAAAAAAAAAATATAATTACATTTAAGTTTATACTTTTTTTTTTTTCAGTATTAAGATGACCTTTTTGGTCTGAGCTTTTTATTAATACTTATATTAGATACATGTTTTATATAGATGTATCTATAATGAACTATTAGATGAATATACAACTGGCTATATGTATAACTTTTCTATATTACCTATTTAAGGAGTCTGCCCGAGGGTTTTCTACCAGTTGCTGTACCTAACACTCCTGCTTAGATGTTCTATTTAAACCCTCTGATCTAACTCTAGTATTAATTTTACTAAGTCATAGACCCAGATCTATTTGCTATCAACCATAGGACTATAATCTTTAAACTATTTTTATCCTCGAAGTAAACCTATCAGAATGCGCTATATTCTCTTTTACTGCTAATCTGGTTTAACACTATGGCCAAAACCAACACTTGCAGTTAGGGTTACTCCTTAGACTGCTATTACTTTTGTAAAGTTCACCCAAACCCTGGTACCTATTTTTCCAACTTTTTCTCTATTATCACCTATTAGCTACAACTTGGAACCAACAATGGACTTTCTATGACTTCCAATCTAGATGGCCTAGTATGGTATACTTATGTATCCTTTTCCTTTAACAATTTCGGTAGCCTGGTTGGTCATGTGCTTCTCTATACATCTTTGTCATCTGGTTTATCCAACAGTTCTTATGAAGGTGTTTCATAGGCTTCCATTAGTTTAATAGCATCATTGAAAGTTTGTGCTACCTCTTTACTCAGGATTTCCAAGTGAGTTTCCATCTCTTCAGTTTCTTAGCCTTCTATACCTGGTAGTCTTATTATGGGTTTGCCTGAAGCCTTATACGATACTAGTTTTATATTTCTCTATATACATGTATTGTATAATATTATACTTTATATAGATGCCTTAAGCTCCCAATGTCAGGTAGGATCTGACTTAGTATACTTAAGATTACAGATGCCCAAAACCTAACCAATCAGCAAAAGACAGTTACTATAATACAGGTATAATTTTCAAAATTTGGCATCCATAGAAATTAAATCTTAGACCTGCCACTTGGAAGTTGACAA